AACCAGTACTATTCAGTTATTCAAGTACAGGAAAATGTCTGTATGTGAAGAATTAATTACTAAAGATTAAAAATATAATGATACTTGTGATTTCCTCCATGTAAACAAAATAGAAAATGGATCTAAGGGAAACGTGTGAACTTTGGACACTGACTTGAATTCCCATCCAAGTTCCATCACTTACTAGCCACAGTCCCTTAGGAAAGTTAATTCCTCTATATTTTTTCTAAAAATGGAAATGATATAATACTTGTATCCCAGAATTGTTGGGAAAATTAATAAGTTGACATGGAAGGATCCTGCACTAGGAAGAAAATAGGGAGAGCTCTCTGGTTAGTTGTGTAAAGTATTTTAGAAAACCTTGCTTGTGCTCTTTGCTGGAGTAAGAAGATGATGTGTGTTATAATTGTTCTTTGAGCTATGCTTCTTTGAATTACTGTGCTTCTTCAGTGATGGACTCTACATGAAACAGGGAACATTTGGGTGAAAGAAAACTTAGAAAATAAAATCCTAGGAAGTGTGAATCTCACCCTTTGTATTTTCCATGTCTTGTAATGTTTGCTTTATTTCCTGTTTTGGGTCACCAATGGGTCACTGATTGAAGACTGACTGTTTAAGACTATATAGTCCTGTTCATGGAACCACGGTGACTCTCCTAGCACCTTCTGTAGGATGTCAGTCTTCCAGCCTCAGTATACTTGTCTTTAAAATATAAATAATAATTTATCTTGCAAGTTATTAGGATTAGATGATGCATATAAGGCATCTATCATATTGCCTGGCACAAAACAGGCCCCAAATGGTTGCTGCTACCACCATTTACCTACTCGGTTGTGAAATGAAGCTCCTGGGTTAAGTAATATTTATAAATTCTATACAGAATGCTAATGGGTTCAACTATAGTACCTAAAAAGTGCGGACCTCTCCTAAAATTTCTTAAAATTTTGCTTGTACTAGTAAATATTCTTTTATCCTATATAATAAAAGGGTGATATGCAAATAACCGAACAGTGGAATGACCGGTCGCTGTGAGGCGCACTGACCACCAGGGCGCAGACGCTCAATACAGGAGGTACCCCCTGGTGGTCAGTGCGCTCCCACAGGGAGAGCGCCACTCAGCCAGAAGCCCAGAAGCCGAGCTCAAGGCTGGTGAGCGTAGTGGCGAGCCTCTCCCACTTCCATGGCAGCGTGTTAAGGATGTCCGGGAGCAGGCCTAAGCCATCAGTTGGACATCCCCTGAGGCTCCTGGACTGTGAGAGGGCACAGGCTGGGCTGAGGTACCCCCCCCTCCCCTGAGTGCACAAATCTCATGCACCGGGCCTCTAGTTTCAAATAAATTAACACAAATGTTACAGTAGTGTTTCATGTATTGACAGCTCATTTATTTAATTTGAATGTCCTTGAAACCATTAGCTTACATAAAATTAACAATTTAAGAATAAATATTATATTAATTGTATGAAGTTTCTTATTTTAGTAAAGCTACGACACTTGAGAAGACCTACGGGCCTGCGTGGATAGCATATGGACATTCATTTGCAGTTGAGAGTGAACATGACCAAGCAATGGCTGCTTACTTCACAGCAGCACAGCTGATGAAAGGGTATGGCAAGCAAATTAATCAAACTGCATGAAAAGATTTTTTTGCTAACAAAATGAAATTTCTATTATTATCACTGTCATTTGGTTGGTAAACTAAAGAAAATATCTTACTTGTATCTAGCTACTGGCTTGTGATTATATAATAACTATGGAAATTTTTTTTTTTTAATATATTTTATTGATTTTTTTACAGAGAGGAAGGGAGAGAGATAGATAGTTAGAAACATTGATGGGAGAGAAACATCGATCAGCTGCCTCCTGCACATCTCCCACTGGGGATGTGCCCGCAACCCAGGTACATGCCCTTGACCGGAATCGAACCTGGGACCTTTCAGTCCGCAGGCCGACGCTCTATCCACTGAGCCAAACCTGTTTCGGCAATAACTATGGAAATTGAGGGAGGAGGAAGCTGGTGTAGTGATTTTGCCTAGCAGTTTTATCTTAACCAGTACAAAAGGGAACTAGGAAATTAGCCTAAGGGAACAAATGAGGAAGGAAGTTCTCTTTCACATGCTCATTCAAGAATGAAATTATTCATTAGCAAAATTATGTTCTGTTTATATCTAAAAGGTATTTAATGTGGCTTAATGGTAGTATAGGACTATATTTGTCAATGTTCTAGATTGAAATCGACATTAAATATATTTTATTTTACATGAGATTAGGATCACTAATATAATAAGTTAATGTAAGTGTACCCTAAGAGTGTGTTACTTTGGAGAGTAAAGTATTACTATTTACTCCTGTTGACTCTTTTTGGACTCAAAATTAGTTATACCTTGCAGTGTTCTTTCTGTGTTCGCTGTTCTCTGCCTCCATCTCTGTGGAGTGGTGGTAGGAGTGCGATGGTTCAAAGGTCTGGGCTGGAATCAGACTACTTGGTGATCTTGGCAAGTTATTTACCCTCTTGAAAAATAGGAATAACAGCAATACTCACTCGTAGGCTTACAGTGGGGAGTAATTGAGATAATACCAGTTAAAGACTTAGGACAGTGTCTGCCATATAGAAAGAACCCTGATAAAAGTTAGCTACTTTAATTTATTTGTTTGTATTCAGGAGCAGTATCACATATTTATCTGTTTTGAATTTCATCTTGTTAGTTTTGATTTACCTTTTCAGACTATCAGACTCCTTTTGGTACCCAGTTTGCATCAAAATTATTTATGATCCTCAGGTTTGTTTGGTTTTTTTTAGTTATATTAAATTTGATACATGACTTTTAAATCTAACTAGTCATCCATGAAAGCATTGTAAAGGAGATAGCTCCCTAACTATATTAGTTTGCTTAGGCTGCCATAACAAAATATCACAGATTGGGTGACTTAACAGAAATTCATTTTCTCACAGTTCGGGAGACTGGAAAGTATAATGTCCAGGTGCTGATAAGAGCTCTCTTCCTGACTTGTAGATGGCTGCCTTCTCACTATGTCTTCACATACTGGAGAGAGAGCTTTGGTGTCTCTTCATTTTTTAAAGGTTCCAGCATTATGATCTGATGATCTTATTTAACCAATACAGTCATGTTGGGTTGTTTGGTCTTAACATATTAATTTTGGGAGGGATACATACGTTCAGTCCATAACACTTATAACTAGAAATAATCCTCCAGATTAAAATTGTTCAGTTAATTATTGATCCCCTAAGTGGTCCAGGTTTCTCCATCCTGTCCACCAAGATGTGTGAAACCTCTTCCAGTGCTTTGCTGAAGTGTGGCTCCAGTGTCTGCATATACCCTTAGTCTGTCAATCTGTTAAGTTGTCAGAAAAAAAAAATCTCAATAATTTACTATGAGTTTTTTCTCATCAGCACATGCTAGGGTCTGCTATTTATGTATTTTTTTTCTATTCTGGGTTCTTTAAACCCAGAATAGTTATTATGAGTTGTTAGTTGTTAGCTAAGAATAAAAACCAGTGATAACTAATGATGTGTTAGTACTTTTAATGTTCCCCAATCTAGGCAAACTTTAATTAAATTTTCAAATCAGCTTCTCAAGATAAGCATTACTTTGTTTTACTTCCCTGTCAAAATAGCATTGCATTCTCTTAATTTGCTCTGTGTCTGGGTAAATGAAATTGTGTAAATATTTTAAAATGCCCTTTATGATTTCTTTTTTGAGCCATTAGTTATTTAAGAGTGTGTTGTTTAATTTCCACATATTTTTTAATTTCCCAAATTTCCTTCTGTTATGATTTCTAATTTAATTCCATTGTGGTAGGAGAACATACTTTCTGTGATTTCAATCCTTTTAAATTTATTGAGGCTTGTTTCATGACCTGACATGGTCTATTCTAGAGACTGATCTAGGTGCACTTAAGAATTCTCCTCTTGTAGGGTGCAATATTCTATAGCTGTCCCTTAGTTCTAATTGGGTTATAGTACTGTTCACATCTTTGATTTCCATGTTGATTGTCTTGCCATCATTACAAGTGAGGTACTGAAGTCTCCAACTATTATTTTTGAATTGTCTATTTTCCCCTCTAATTCGGGCAGGTTTTGCTACATGTATATTGGGTCATGCACTGTCTCTAGTAATAAATTTTGTCATAAGTGTACTTTGATATTAGTCGAGTCATATCAGCTCTCCTTTGTTACTGTTTGCATGTGGTATCTTTTTCCATTTTTTTACTTTCAACCTGTTGTGTCTTTGAATCTAAAGTTTGTCTCTTGGCAGCAGTAGGGCCAGACCCGGTAGTGGCAGTGGCAGCAGTTGCCTGACCCCTCCCGCTCCCGCTCCCTGGCAGCTTGCCCTTTCCCCTCAGTCAACAATGAAGGGGATAAATGATTAAAAAACAGGAGAAAAGAGTTGCAGAGCTTAGCCTGAACCTCAGCTCTACGTCCGAGGATGAACCTCCCTTCTCTGTCAATCATGCAGCGAAAGTATCTACTACAAGCCTGACAGTGAGACCAAGGGGAAGCAACGCAGCTCTCTTGGTGATGCATTCAAAGCAGACTCTATTGTGGAGGGAACTTTTTCCTGCTGTTCCATGTATAACAGCATCTCCCAGAAGCCAAATGGGCTTCAGGGAAAGTGAAGGATTGGGTAAATACAGTCAGCGTAGGAAGGACATTGTTGAGTCCTCTAATCAGAAAGGCTTGGGGCTGACGTTGCAAGGCTTTGACCAGAAGTTGAATCTGGACTGGCAAGATGAGCCAGAGCCTAGTGCCTATGAGCAGGTATGATGGTTTCCAGAATGTACCACTGAAATTCCTGACACTGAAGAAATGAGTGATTGGATGGTTGTGGGAAAGAAAGATGATTATTGAAGATGAAACAGAGTTTTGTGGGGGAGACGTGCTTCACAATGCGCTGCAGAGTAAGAGTGTGTTTGATGTCCTGGATGGGGAGGAGATGCAGCAAGCTCAGACCCGGGCCAGTCCCTATGAGATGATCCAAGGAGTCTTCTTCCTAAACAGGGCGCAGGAAGATGGCTAATATGGATTTTGTATTTGATCACATTTTTACAAATCCGAGGGACTCTTGTGGGAAACCACTGGTGAAGGACTGGGAAGCTGAGCTTCTGTACTGTGCTGACGTCTGTGCAGGCCCAGTTGGCTTCTCAGAGTATGTGCTGTGGAGGAAGAAGTGGCACGCAAAGGGCTTTGGAATGGCTCTGCAGGGCCCGAACGACTTTAAGCTGGAAGCCTTCTACTCAGCTTCCAGGGAACTTTTTGAACCTTACTATGGCGAGGGTGGGATTGATGGAGACATCACCCGCCCAGAGAACATCACTGCTTTTAGGAATTTTGTCCTGGATAACAGATCACAAGGGTGTCCACTTTTTGATGACCAATGGGGATTTCTCTGTGGTGGTACAGGAGAACCTACAAGAGATCCTCAGCAAGCAGCTGCTGCTCTGTCAGTTCCTCATGGCACTTTCTGTGTCTGGACAGGAGGCCACTTCATCTGTAAAACCTTTGACCTATTCACACCATTCAGCATGGGGCTCATCTACCAACTGTGCTGTTCATTTGAATGAGTATGTCTCTTTAAGCCCATTACCAGCCGTCCTACCAACTCGAGAGGTATGTGGTGTGCAAGGGCCTGAAGGTGGGCATAGGTGACAGGATTACCTCTTCTCAGTCAGTATTAAACTCAACCAGCTGCAGCACACTGATTCTGATGTCAACCCTGTGGTTCCCTTGGAGGTGATGAAGGGAGACCATGAATTTACTGACTACATGATACGGTCCAGTGAGAGCCACTGTAGTCTGCAGATCAAAGTTCTGGCCAAAATCTATGCCTTTGTTCAAGATGTGATCCTGAGCCTTGGCAGGCAAAGATCTGGAAACAGTGCCTTTGTCTTTGGGGGATCCCAGACCAGGCTTGAATTGCTCCTACTTCCTCAGACCCAAAATCTAAGTTCTTTGACCTAATACAGGGCACTGAGATAGACATCTTCAGCTCTAAGCCCACGCTGCTCACCTCCAAAACCTTGGAGAAGATCCGCCCAGTGCTCAACTACTGCTGCATGGTGTCTGGCAGTGAGTAGAAATTCCTCCTCGGCCTGGGGAGGTCACAGATCTACACATGGGATGGCCGCCAATCAGACTGCTGGGTCAAGCAGGACCTGAAGACAGAGCTACCCCGGGACACTCTGCTCGCTGTGGAGATTGTCCATGAGCTGAAAGGGGAGGGGAAGGCCCAGCGGAAGATTAGTGCAATCCACATCCTCGATGTCCTTGTGCTGAATGGCAGTGATGTGCGGGAGCAAGACTTTAACCAGTGAATTCTACTCGCTGAGAAATTTGTGAAAGCTGTTTCTAAACCTAGTTGTCCTGACATGAATCCCATCAGGATGAAGGAGGTGTATAGGCTGGAGGAAATGGAGATTTTTAGCAGGTTGGAGACGAAGATCATTAAGGGCTCCAGTGGCAAACTGAAGCTCAGCTACACAGGACGAGACAACCGGCACCTTGTGCCCACTGGTCTCTACATTGTTAGGACAGTGAATGAGCCATGGACTATGGGATTCAGCAAAAGCTTTAAGAGGAAGTTCTTCTACAAGAAAACCAAGGCCTCTACCTGTGAGCTCCCTGCAGATGCCATTGCCCATTTCACATCTGCTACTATGGCCGGCTCCTCTGGGAGTGGGGAGATGGCATCCCTGTAGGTGACTCTCAGAAACCCCAGGACCCAGACAAGCTGTCCAAGGAGGATGTCCTCTCCTATATCCAGACACAGCGCCTGAGGGCCTGAGGACGCCCACTCCTGCTGAACACAGTCGTTCAGAGTCAGGGTGCCTTACCTAGGCCCCACAGTACTGGTTCCTTCCCCGTCTTGAAAGGGACAGGGAAGCACAGTGATTACAGCCTGGCCATGGGGGGTGGGCAGGTGGTCTCCTCTCCATCTCCCCTGAAGAACTCAGTCAGGGGCCTTCAGAGGGCACTCACATGTTCCTTCTGGAACCCCTTTTAGACTTCCCTTCCCAGAGACCTGCCTGGGAACTTTCTCCCTGCCAGGACTCAGCCTGATACTTCTGACTGACTGGCTACAAATCTGACACACATCTCTGTGTTCCCTTACAGACATCTCATTCCCTGATTTCCTTTTAAGTTTTTGGCCAGCCTCTTGTTTGCCTCAACTGGTATGGCTGCCTCAGGTTAATATTAAACAGTTACCACTGATTGTTTTCAACAACTGCCCTGGGAGAGAGCTTATCTCACTGAGTTGGCTATGAGTCAGGTCAAAGAAAATCAAGCTATGAATAGGGTTTTCCAGGGAGCTGACAGATGGGTCAATTAGTGACAATTCTCTGTGGCACATATCAGGATCTCCAAGCTCATTCTCCTCCAGGGGCTGCTGGGCTACTGATGTCCTAGGCTAGTGTGGAGCTGAGAAAAGGGAGACAGGAAAGGGACAAGTTAAAACATTATAAAATCTGTTCTTTTGCTGAGACTCAGCTGTTTCTCTAGAATAAACACTCCTCACATTGTTGTAAGCTTTTGGTTAACTTCCAAAGTTCTGAAAAAGTTTATTTTGATGATTTTTGGCAATGTTCTTGTTGCTTTCATAGAGGAGTAGATTGTATTCTGCCATTTCAGAAATACTTCCTCCAGGTAAAAACTTTTAAAGCATTCTTCATGGCCTTTCTGTAGAACATAGATTCTTGAGTCATGATTCTAGATTTGAAACAAAGCACATACCAACCATTCAGTCAGTATTATTGACATTCTTAGATCCATCTGCAAAGAAAAATTATGTTTTCTTTGCTTAATGTAATCATTGTTCTTTGTGCCTAAAATTATCTCAGAGGATATGAAAATAGACTAGACATGACATAATTCAGAACTCTGCAGTGGAACTGATAATAACTGATATACTGGAATCTGCACAGGAAGAGCCATTTAAGTTAGAAAGTCAGAAGCAGCTTCATGAAGGGAAGCAGAACTTTAACACAGTCATGAAGGATACACGGTACTGACTCCATAAAGGAGAACGAGGAGGACCGTCTAGCATAGGGCCATGACATTAGCATAGTGTAGGAAAACAGTCAGCATAGACCTGTTTTTCTGCTTTAGAGGATTTTTGGGGTTTATTGTTGAATAATGAGATATAAAGGCTAGGTTGCTGAAAGGTTCCAGAAGTGTCAGCTGATTAGTCTAAAAGCCCATTTGACAGTCTTTAAATATTAGTAAATGAAGTTTTAGAGAAAAGTAAATGCTCTGTTTTTGCCTATATTTTAGTTATTTTGCAGATAGGATTTGAAGTCAATAAATTAATTTCTACTGAATTATTGTTTTTGGTGTTGAATATATGAAAATTTCCAATATTTTTAGGTGTCATTTGCCAATGCTCTATATTGGATTAGAATATGGATTAACCAATAACTCAAAATTGGCTGAAAGATTCTTTGGCCAGGCTCTAAGCATTGCACCAGAAGATCCTTTTGTTATGCATGAAGTTGGCGTGGTTGCATTTCAAAATGGAGAGTAAGTACTGAAAGGCCAAAAGCCCTTCTGTTTCCTTTTTATTAGTATAATAAAACCTCAATCACTAGAGTTTAACTGCTCAGAGTGACCCTTTAGTAGATTTTTAAAAGTGTATTCTTTAGGAGAAGGGGGTGTACTGTTAAAAAAAAAAAAGAAATAGAAAGTGTTATCTTGGATTTCTTTAAAAATGCTAAACCTCCGATTTGGTCCCCTTTGATGTGGGCTATTACAAGCTCCTAAATTCTGCGATTGGACTGTTGTCGCTGTCAACTCACTTGAGCCCTGCAGGATGGCCTGGGCACTGCAGATTCCTCAGTCATCTATCTCCTTGTTGATTAGGAGTTGGAGTCATGCATTTGAGAAACATTCTCTACAACTTTGAAATGAAAATGTTTTCCGTTTAGCTTCCAGTTAACCCCAAAATTAAACTAGGATGGCCTAACCTGAGTTTACTGGTCAATTGAGGCATTAACTGTAGCCTTGAACATTTATAGAATAAGTAGTTCAATGTCATTCTCAAAGAGAAAAATATGTATAGCCCTTTGCATTAAATTATACATGAATTTAAAACAGTAAATTAGTACTACTGTAATGGTTTGTTGTGGCATGTGTGTATTCTAAAAATTGGGTTATCTAGTATTTATAAAAGAAAATTTGGAGATTAAAAAAATGTATAATAATATTTTAATATATAGTCAACTCATTTTTAACCCCAAAGTCAATCAAGGTGCTTTCACATTGTGTGGACATGTGCGTGTTCCCAGCTAAGGTCAAACAAATGATGTTTTGCCTTCTTTTGTCCACTTTCCTACTTAAACAAGTGTTCTTTTTTTGTTGTTGTTGTTAAACTTGATATTCTTTTTTTTTTTAATATATTTTATTGATTTTTTACAGAGAGGAAGGGGGAGGGATAGAAAGTTAGAAACATCAATGAGACAGAAACATCGATCAGCTGCCTCCTGCACACCCCATACTGGGGATGTGCCCGCAACCAAGGTACATGCCCTTGACCGGAATTGAACCTGGGACCCTTGAGTCCGCAGGCCGACGTTCTATCCACTGAGCCAACCCGGTCAGGGACAAGTGTTCTTTTTTACATTCAATTTTGTGACATGTTTTTGTGCTTTTTGTTGATAATTTCACTGTTTAAAATGGTCCCCAAGTGTAGTGCTGAAACCTGTCTAGTGTTCCTAAGCACAAGAAGGCTGTGTTGTGTTGTGCCTTGCAGAAAATACACTTATTAGATAAACTTTGTTAAGGCATAAGTTACAGTGCCTTCAGTTCAGTGTTAATGAAGCAACAATATATGTTAAATTAGGCATCACTAAGCACAAGCATATATAAAACAGGTTATAGGTTGAACATTTGGTGAAAAACGTGAGCAGAGGTTTGGGAACCTAAGCCCTGTATTTCCACGGGAGCAGTAGTTCTGACTGCACTAACGCAGTGTGCATGGTGACCAGAGAACACAGAGAATAATGAGAATTGACTGTATCTCCTAACAGCTTGAATTCCAGTGATATTAATGCCATAAATTCATCATCTATTACAATTGCTATTGCAAATAGTACATTGTAATGTACTATTTACAGAGGTTTACCTCATTTCATTTTTATATTACTAAAAAGAGAATCAAATTTTTCTTATTATTAAGTTTTCTAACTTTGAATAACCTGCAATCTTTTTTCCTTCTATTTTAGATGGAAAACAGCAGAAAAATGGTTTCTTGATGCTTTGGAAAAAATTAAAGCAATTGGGAATGAGGTATTTTATGTAATATCTATAAATACGCACACTCGTAAGTATGTGTACTATTGAATGAGGAAAATAATATAGATAATCTGTCTTGCTTAGAAAAAAATAACCTAATATCATATAATAACCTAATATTTATCATAACAATTGTCAGGCAATCAACTGTTTTACTTCATGGTACAAAATGAATTTGTTTCTAATTGAGAGGAGGGCAGGTGTTGGCTGTGTGCTCTAGTTTTGATATGTGGGAGTAATCAGAATATATTTGATGATTATTTGATACAAGGAATGTGTGATGACTCGTGGAAACTGGTGGGCACTGCAGCACATAACATAATATGTCCTCTAGCACCCCAAAAGAGCCTCATCTTTGATAAATGGTTAAATATAGCAGCTGATCCTACTGAAATAGGGCTAAGTGTCATTCAAATTCAGACCTATTATTGTTTTTCCTCACCTTATACTTAACATATATTTAGACTATTAACTATTTGAAAATTTTACTAGGTTCTATTGTATGAAAGATGTACCCCATGAATTTGCACTCATGAATTAACCTTCCATCTAGCATGGATGTGTATATACTATATTATTTTAACAGTTTTAGATATTGTAAACTTCTGTAGATAAGGAATTTGCATGTTTCTACTCTCTGGTTCCTGAATCTTTTTACTTGTACCTATTTGGTTTTATTCTGTTCTGTTTGCCACTTGCCAGTTACATACTTGGGCATACTTGCCCACATTCCACATCTTCTTTGGTCGTAGTTCCTCCTTGCTGAGACAGATACAGCTCCCTTGGGCTTCCTGTCAGGTGGCAGTTCACCTGTCCCCATAGACACCGCTTTGTTTATTTTGGTCTCTTCTTACTTGTCATATGAACTTAAAAACACTGTATTTCTGTGTGTTTGCACATGTATGTATATAAACAGGTTCTTCCACAGCACAGTCTTGGATGGACTGGATAATACATGTGTTTTTGTTAATATAGGGTTGCTACTTAGCACCTTGCCAGTTTTCATACAATTGAATACCTTAGGACCTTGGTACTCAAACTGGACCAGCCGTATCAGCATTACCTGGGAGCTCATTAGAAATACAGAATCTCAGATCTACTGAATCAAAATCTGCAGTTTTAGCAAGATCCCCAGGTGATTTCTCATGCACAGAAAAGTTTGAAATGCACTGTCTTAAATGACACTTAAAATTTAAACTATATTCTTTGATGATCAGAAGGCATTTTAGGAGTCTACAGAAATTTGAAGTAATGATTTTAAGTACAAAAGCACAATACCATTAAACTCAGAATTTCCATTAAAAAGTTATGTGAAAAG